AGGGAAAATGTGTGCGGCGACGCAACCACCACCGCACCGCACCACCGTCTATACCACATGAACCATCAACCACCACAAATTAAAACAACCAACAAACAATTGAATAGCTCACAAATCAAAACAACCAACTGAAAAAGGAGAGAGGGGAGAAGATGCGGGGAAGAGGAAAGGGAAGAGGTGACGGCTTCAAATCGCCGACGCCGCTTCAAATCACTCGACGCTCCATCGACGGTGGTCGGACGTCGGTAGATGTTGTTGCCGCTTATTGTCGTCGATTGGGGTGGCAGAAACGACGGTAGAGAAGAGAAAAAGAAGGTAGGTCCGTCGGGAGAGAGACAGGAGACGGGAAGAGGCGGGTAGAGAGAGAAAGAGGGAGATGAAAAATGATTTAGGGTTTGGAATTGGATAGGGTGGGAATAGTATTTAATTTTTAAATTAATACCTGAATTTTGATTAAAAAATCTTCTTACCTGATTTTTGCACTCTAATCTTTAAACACCTGTTTTTTTATAATTTTCCCATAAAAATTGGTCAACTTATTCAAGTACCCTTAAAAGAAGGTCATTCTTAAAAATCAACCTCCTATAAAAGAGAGGATCCGATTTTCACTATTCAATCCGTGCCCTACCTTTCACACTGTAACTGGTTTTAAACTAGATATGGAACAGTGCCGTATTTTCCACCTTTTTAAAAACTTTAACCAAGTACAGGCCTATTTCATTTAATATATATTCACACATATCCATTAGCGTGTTATTCATTCTTTCTGAGCACCTGGTACCTGGTGTCGGTTACTGTTTATCTTATCACCGTCTATTACTCTGTGTTCGTTATTGTTCATCTTATCTCGATTTTTGTATTATAAAAAATATCTTCCGTTCCTTTACCTTCACGTGTACGCATATCTACGGTGCTTTCGTTTTTATTTGACTAGAAAATTCAACATCAACCAAAATAGAGGCCCACTTCATTTAATGTTCACACATATCAACTGTCGTATTCATTTTTATTTTCCAGATGACCGGTCATTTGACATTCATTTGTGTCGGATACTGTTCATCTTATCACCGTCTCTTTGCCTCCACTTCGCGTCGATTACTGTTCATCGTATCTAGATTCTATAAATATAATTTTAAAGGTGAAGAGATAAAAAAAAAAAAAATATCGCCAACTGTATGTACCATTGCCTTCCATCCCTCTGCTATCTATACTAACTTTGTGTTACAGGTTATTTTTATGTTACCTTCCTATTTGATTTCGTACTAACTTGGAATTTCTTATGCTTGTTTTGTTTCGTCTTTTCAGTTCACCTATTCACAGTAAAGAAATATTACATGGTCGATAGCGCATATAAATTATTAAAGGTATATCGATCTCATAACTATTGCATGCTAGGTTTATTTACTTATTCAGAGTTTTTTCCCCCGATTTCCTGATGTATTTATTTCTTACGATTTACAGTTTTTTTTTTGTGTTACAGATTACACTTATGTTACCTTCCTCTTTGATTTAGTGCTAACTAGGAATTCCTTATGT